GGTGGTGTGCAGCAGCCTGGAGCTGGCGCGGGCCCCGCCGCCCGCCGCGCTGCCCAACAGGACCGTCACGCTGTGAGTACCGGGAGGGAACCGGAGCCGGGCCCGGCGCTGCCCCCGCGCCTTCCTGGGCCGCAGCCGCCGCCTGCCCGGGCCGCGCAGACGGGAAAACAAAACGAGGCGGCGTCGCTCGCTCGCGGGCAGAGCCCCTGGGCAGGAGGCGGGTTCCAGGGGGATTTGCTCGTGGAGCAGGAGGTGCTGGGCAGCTTCCCGCGTGCCCCCCTTGCCTTTTGTTTGAAGCCTTCTCCAAAGCCAAGTGGTCCACGCGCAGGGGCCCGTCACCGCGGGGTGCTGCCCTGTACCCCGACGACTCCCTGAGTTGCGGCGAGCACGTGCCAGAGCACATGCAGGGGACAGCGCGGTTTGTTCCCCGTTCTTGTCGCCGTCGCCGTCCGTCCGCTGCTGCGGATCCTGTCGCCGTCTTCTTCGCTGCCTCCCCGTCCACTGGCGTCGTTGTCCTTTTCGCTCTCCCTGCCTGCTTCCCCTCCCGGGGCAGTCTTTGAACAGCCTGTGTCCAGTGAAAGCTGGTTTGCCGCTGCAGCTGTCCATACATGGTTTGGCAATGCTGATTTGGCAGCGCTGCTCCCTCGGTTGTGGCGGGGGCATGCCAGACCAAGTGGGGCTGATGTCACGCAGTTGTCTTTTCATGCCAGCTCCCTTCCCCCCAAAAGTCAAATGCAACTATTCCAGTTGTTTAGACTTATGGCAGATATGCTCAAGGAGCTGGCATCATTTTTGTTCCAAAAAAAAAAAAATGTCTGAGCTTGATTTCAGGACAGGTTCAACCCCAAGTTAGCAAGGCAGCTGGTTTAGTTGAGAGAAAGTGGTGCAACGGCCTAGCATGCTATTGGCTAGAATTCCCCTATAAAGGTACTTCATTATCTTTATTAACTCAGGGCAGCATATAGTTTTTGTAAGCTCCAGCAAGATAGGGTTCTTTTGGGGCAGAGGGAGCCAGGAGCTATTAAAAAAAAAAAAAAAAGTGTTCTTTTATTGTTGAATAGTCCTTTTTTGTCTAATAGTATTGACAAGACCTAAGAAATGCTTTATACGTTGTCTGTTCAAAGTTGGGTTGAATAGAGTGGAAGGATCACTTCATGTGATTTTTAAGTGATACTTCTGTTAATACAGGCCAGTGTACTCTTGGCAGTATACAGCCAATGATAGCAGGGATAGGGATTACTTAGAGAAGCAAGATGACTTCAAGTCAGCAGAGCTGGATCTGCTGTATCCCAGGGCATCGGATAAATTGGTTGAGGTAAATTCAGAGCCATTAGAATTTAGAAAAATTCTCTTAGAAAACTTGAGGGGGTTGGGTGAGGTCATGGATGATTGGAAAAGAGCAAATGTAGTGCCCATCTTTCAAGAAAGGGAAGGAGGATCTGGGAAATTGCAGATCAGTCAATCTGATCTCAATATGTGGAATGGATCATGGAGCAGGTCCTCAAGGAATCTACTGAGAAGCTCCTAGAGAAGAACAAGATAATCAGGGGCAGTTAGACTGGATTCCCTAAGAGCAAGTCATACCTGACCAGCCTTATTTCCTACTATCACAAGGTGAACGGGCCCTGCGGGCAGAACAGTGGATGTGATATCCTTGACTTTAGCTAGGGTTTTGACATGGTCTCCCACAGTATCTTCATTGACAAGCTTCATTGGCATCAAACTCTTGTGTGCTGGATGGATAGTGCAAGTTTGGTCTACAGGTTGTATCAGGCCTGCAGACTGACCCTTCATATTGGATCCAGTGTGTGCACCACAAGTGGTGTGTGGGTCTACCCCAAGGCCCACAGGCAGCACCATGGACTGGATGATAGGGCTCTGCAGTCCTGATCTGGCCCATCACCTGTGTCTTGCACCCCTGAACTAAGGAAATACAGACTGCTTAGCTTACACTAAGTATTGGAAGGTGGATACAAGACTGGTTGGATCATCATCAATGGTACAATGTCTGGTTGGTTGGAGGTATCAAGAGCAGTTCCCCAGGAGTTTGTCCTGAGACTGCTCTTATTAATGATTTGGATGAAAGGACTGAGGGTAGGCTTGACACTATGTTGAGTGGAGTTGCAGAGAAAAAATGGTCCTCAGTCAGTCAGATGGGATTCAGCAAGGAAAAGGGCAAAGTCCTGCACTTGGGATAGAATAATTGCATGCACAAATACCGACTGGGGAATGTCTGGTTTGGCAGTAGCACTGAAGAGAAGGACCTGGGAGTTGCAGCCTGAATCTGAGCCAACAGTATGCACTTCTTGCAAAAAAGCCAGAACAATATTGGGCTGTGTTAACAGAAGCGTTGCTTGCAGATCAAGGGAAGTGATTCTTTTGCTCTGTTTGGTACTGCTGAGGCCTCACCTGGAGTATTGTGCTCAGTTTTGGGTTATATTCTTCAAGAAGGATGTAGACAGATTGGAAAGAGTCCAGAGGAGGGCAGCAAAAATGATTTGGTGACAGGAAAGCATGACTTGTGAGGAAAAGCTGAAAGAGCTGGGGTTATTTAGTATGGGGAAGAGGACACTGAGGGGGAATTTGGTAACAGTCTTCAAATACCTCAAGGGCAATTGTAGAGAAGATGGAAGTAGGTTTCTCTATAGCCATAGGAGACAGGACTAGGAGCAATGGCCTCAAGATGCAGAAAAGGAAATTTAGGTTAGAGATTAGGAGGAACTGAGTGTGAGGATGGTCAGGCATTGGAACAGGATACCTAGAGAAGTTGTGGAATCTCTTCTGTCCTTAAAAAGTTAAATTTTCTCCAGGCATAGGCAGAGTCTGCTGTTGCGTGTGCCTGAAGAAGGATGTTTGTGTCCAAAAGCTTGCAAAGAACAATTTTTCCACCTATTTAGTTGATCTAATAAAAGATATCACATTTTCCCAAAGAACCTTGTCTGCCTGTGTCTTTAGACGAAGGGCGGGCAATTATTTCGGGTGGAGGGCCACTTATTGAGTTTTGGCAAGCCATCGAGGGCCGCATGACAGGCAGCCAGGGTCAGATAAATATTAATTTTCTAATTTTGCGGGGGGGCCCCGCAGGCCAGATAGAATGGCCTGGCAGGCCGCATCCAGCCCACAGATCGCATTTTGACCACCTCTGCCTTAGACCAACACAGCTACAACCAACACCCCCAAGAGTAGGTTAGACACTTGGCATGGATGATTTAGTCAAGGACATCCTGCCTTGAGCAGGGGGCTGGATTAGATGGCCTTGTGAGGTCACTTTCATTCCTACTTTCCTATGATCTTATTGGAGTGGTGGTGCTTAGTGGAGGTTATTTGGTGGATGAAATTAACTTTTCAGTCTGACTGGTAGTACCTTCCACCAAGGTACATCAGAATCCTCGTTCAGTAAAGAGATGCTCAGATTGTTTTATAAAGAGAAACTGAAATTGTACATGGAAAAAAGGGAGACATAACCATCTATCTAGGCTCTCTTATCAGTACTTATAACAACACAATCTTGTTTTTGTTTTTCTTTTTTTTACAAGAAACAAAGGAGTTTGCTCATGTTTATCAGTAGATAAAATGATTTTTTATTTAGATAATTATGGCTCACCCAATTTAAACCACTACTTTCAAACAAGAAGAGCTGTAAAATTCTGACCAAACCCCACCCCCCCAAAAGTTTTACTGTTGTTTGCTTGTTTAACCTTTAGCATAGTGCTGTGAGATCCTTTTAAGGGTGCTGCTCAATATTAGCACTGTTCCGTGTGCAAACAAACCCATATATGATTCACAAGATAAAGCCAGAGATTTCAAATAGGAATCCATAGTATCAAAAATACTCTGACCTGTTCTGGTCTTTCTGAGTTCTTTGCAACAGAAGAATTGTTATATTATTTTCCTTAGTGAAAAAATGAGTAAAAGGTAAGAGCTGGTATTTTGTAAGGGTACCTTGGATCTCTAAAAAGGTTGAGAATCACTGCTCTTGTACGTGAAGGATAGGCAGTTGGGATGTAGTTCTTACCTCCCCACCCCCTTTCTGTTAGGAATTAAGTAGTAATTACAGAAGTAGTAATGGTGCCTATTTGCTGGAGTAAAATCCCTGAATCTGTTTGATGCCTCAGCCTGTTATGCAATTTGTGAGAAGCTTAAGTGCCTCAGTATGGGATCCAGCACAGCCAACATGCTGAGCAGAGAGATCCCTACATCTAATCAGAACGGAAACTGTAAGGAAAGGGTTGAATCTGAAATCTAGCCCCTCTTGGGCTTGCATGCCTCTATCCACTAGTTGTTCATATCCTTTTCTGAGGGGAGCTGTTTACAGCTGCTTTTCAAAAGAACACAGCAGTGCTTATTTTCTTTCTCCAATGCATCCTCTTGTGGTGGACCTGCCCAGTGTTATAAAATAGAGTAGTAGAGCTGGGTAGACCAATGGGAAAATCCATGTTCAGGTTCCTCCTCTGCCTGAGGGGATTTAAGCCTGTATCTCTCACTTCTCAAGGGAGCGCCCTAATCGCCAAGATCTTCTGGATGGGAACATCCGGAGTTCCTCCTATGGAAGTTGTACTACCATGCAGCAAAGAAATCAAGATTCACTGAGTATTGACAGTTATAGTATTTATTTAGCAGCAGGATGAAACTGACAGCAGCTTGGTTAGTTTCATTGCTACTATTCAGAATGTTAGGGCACAAGCAAAATGTTTTAGGAATGAGGTCTGTTGCTTTGATTCCAGTGAAGCCAAGAATGTGGAGTTCTACAGGGTAAGTGCAAAAGGAAGAATGGAAGTTTGGTATGAGTTTGGTATGAGACTGTCCCTTTTTCAGCAATCTGGAAATTCTGGGATGGGAGGGAGAGCTGATAAAGATCCATTTCCTTTGGGTCAGGGGTAGGCAACCTTTCCTGGTTGGAGGTGGGTGGGTAGGCCCTGCCTGCAGCTAGTGCTTGTCCCTGTGACAGCTTGGGGAGAGAAGCAAAATGTCTGCAGCTGGTGTTTCTTGCTGCTCCAGGCCTCATTAGTGGACTTGCCTTCCTTCCAGATTTCTTGTTGACCTGTGGATAGGTTTGGGATAAATAGTGAAGG